GGGGAAAGTTTCCAAAATGAAGAAGCCTTGTCTATCTTTTCACATCCTGTTCCCTCCTCTTAAAATTTGAAAAATGGTCCTTTGCAAGTGGTTGGGAGAGCAGGTTCAGAGCAAACAAGTCCCTATAAGGGGAGAAAAGTAAGAGGAGCACTGGAATGATGAAATAAACTCTCCTTCTGGCAAGGCTTGATAGGTACTAGATCAATGTTCCTTTTTAATAATGGGAGATGTGCTTTAGGCAGTATGCTTGGTAGGGTATTTGAATGTTGGGTTTTGTTACAGTGGCTTAATTGGAGGGAATGAGAAAGTTGATATGGCCAAAACACACACAGGGTGGATCTGCAGCAAAGCACTGGAGACCTTTTTCTGAGTCTAACCTAGACAGAACCAATTAAGAGCCTGTATGTATTCATGTTCCTAATGGTGTTTGCTAAGCAATCGGCCCCTCCGTCAAGTCCGACCCACATCTTTCAGTGTGTAATCTCTCAGACAAATAAACTTTGTTTTATTCTTTTTGCAGAACTCCTTTTCCAGTATCTTTCACATGGAATATGAGGAGCTGGGTGAAGTCCTAGACGCCCCTAAAAGGTAAGGCGATCACCCTCAATTGAAGGCTGTTATTAAATTAAAAGTCCTTCATACTGACCTCAAGGCGTACTCCAGCTGTTTCCACCAGATATTAGCAGTGATGTTTTCTTTGACTTTGCAAACTACCCTTTTCCTCTCCCTCAGAGACCCTTAGATGATGTTTGATAATAGTCACTTGCACAAGGATTCATTATCATTGCATGAAAGGAGACAGAAAAAAAAGAGATGTACGGCAATGTTTGGGGAGTAGTGAAAGCCTTACTGTGTCCATTCAGTCACTTTGAATTGAAAGAGCAAAAACAAGAATCAGTCCAATACTCACCTGATTTGCAGCCCTTCACCTCAAAGCTCCAAGCTTCTTATTCAGGCTCTTTAGCTTGATGGGCTGTCTTTAGGGTTGATTTGACAGCTCCTCAATCACAAATTGTTTTTTATGATGAAGTGAGCCCATTTACTGTGTTGGAAGCACCTTTCCAGGACAGTCCAACAATCATCCTTCACATACTCGACTGTGTTGTTTTGAGGTCAAATGTATTATAAGTCAAGTCAAGATTTTTATTTGCTATTTATGCATAAATTGACAGTCTAGGTATATAGGAATTCTTGTGCAGCTCTCCTTTGGAGTCAGGTAAGGAGTCAAAAGCCAGAAAAAACACTTGGTCTTAAAATAAAAAAGTTACATAAAGGCAACAAAGTATTAAAAACTGCAACACACAAAAATAGGGTAACAGCTATATTAATTGAATATGTCCAGTCTCGTTTGGCTGTTGTGTACGTTCATGTTACATGTCTGTGCTTGTTACAGTGTGTAGATATTTGAAACACGTCAGATTGTAGTGTAGCGCTACCATTATTATGACCATTTACAGCACAAACGAGGCCATTGTGAAATTGTCAGTGGTTTTACCAGTGAAGGCCACATTTTCCTGATGCGCAGGGACAAGTTGGCCATTAGGTGTACAAAACAAAGGACGCCAGTGACCAGGGTTCACATCTTGTACCTCATGTGGTTCAGGCTACTAAAATTCTTGGTTAAAGTTAGGTGGAGGATTGCAGTTTTAGTTAAATATTGAAAAAGTCAAACTAGGGATGAGATGAATGATGTTTTCAATATTTACCCAACACAGTGGTCTTTTGCCAGCCTTAAACAAATGCTTTGCATTTCCTAGATGTAACGAGAGAAATGCAAATCATGTTTTAGCTGCAGGAGTGGATATTATACATCAAAACAAGGCTGTGAGATCTGAGCTAGCAGGTGCATTTTGAGTATTTTTGGAGACAGGGGTGGCTGTGTTCATCAAACTGTATTTGTTATAAATATAGAAACAAAATTGGCTCCAGATCGTACACAGCACAGTTACCGCTCCTTTGACCCATATTCCCTCTAGAAATGATTATGCCTTATAAATGTCACAATTATCATTTCTAGGTCAGAAATGGTTGAAAGAAGCACACCAGAGAAAACCAAATGGTTTAAGGACCTACAAGCAGGATGAGGGTCAGAATGAGAAGAGAAGGATTGGAGGAGGAAAAATGAGCTTCAGAGCTTCCTGATATCAACTCATGCTCCAGCCAGGAGGAGTGAATAAGCAGTAATCAGATTTAAGATGCAATGAGATAGACCCCCCACCACCACCACAATCCCTGGGGTGGCATGGCCTCCCCAGTTGCTACGCAGTATCTACAATTCAATCATAATCTTAGCCCATACAACAGAATTGGATTGTGTGTGCGTGTGCACATGTATACATTTTTGTGTGTACAGTTTAGAACATACTGTACTATATAAGCGCTTGTGCTGTTTACATTGTTTTTCTACAGTATTGTTTTTTTTAGACTTTGTCCACTGAGTAGAGTCCAGCTGCACCTAAGATATACTTACAGTTTAATGGATTGTATAGTTATAGTATGTTATGACAGATTGGTCAGTAATAATGTGTGACAGTAAGATCACAATGCCTTAGCCTGGACTTATAGTAATGAGACCAGATGAGATCTCTCTTAAGTATACATATGCTTCAGCTATAACCACTTTGCAGGTTTCCCTTACTGATATCTGAAGCCTCTAGTGCCTTTTTTTGTTTCATTATCTCTAGCACAAACCAAAAACCCCCTGCCACTCCTTAATAAATATGAATACACTCAATTTCACTGTTTTCCGCAAAAGCTTAGTAAATTTCACCCTTGTTGTGCAATAGCAAAATTCATAGTGTTTGGTATTAGCCCAACGTTTCTGCCAAAGATGTTCACGAGTCACAAAATTCAAGTCTGAGTCAAGTCTCACGTCTCTAATGTTTCAAATGTTGTATGTTTATTCCAAGAGCATGTTCTCCTTTTGAATCGCAGCCATCATATTACCTAATATACACTAGTGGACTGATACTGTGACCCACTGAGATGTCATAGACCATCTAATGTTGCTATTGCTGAATTCTGTGAACCTGTAGATACATTTGAAAACTAAATACAGGGCAAACTGGAGGCAGAGTGCAAACCCTTTACAATACAGCATGCGTCTTAGTTTTATCAGTCCTGTGATATGACACAATGCACTCAGTTGTCAGGTTAATAGGTACACCACGGTAAAACTAATGCATTCCACTCTGCCCTGTCATAAATCTTCCTACTTTTAGGGGCCCTTGCTTATTTTGCCTGTAATTTAGCTGGAGCATTAGGTTCTCCTTCTAAATTGACTTTTTGTATATTGTGATTCAGTTTAACCTTTGGCACAGCTTCATTTACAGCGCAGTAAAATATTATAAAAACTGTAAGCACATCACAACCACAGTGATTTATACAGATGCACTCATTATAATTATCACGTTATAGCGTATAACATACTGCAAGATACCGCAACAGCATTGTTCAGAGATGTGCATGTCCATATATAGATAGATAGATAGACAGATAGATAGGTAGACATAGATATAGAGAGAGAGACTGTTTTGTAAGCATTGAAAGTTGTAAGTCAGTCCCACCTCCCTGCTTTGTACGGTGCTAGCTAGTGAAGGCTCTCGAACCAAGCTTTTTATCAAGATTTATTGACTTTATTTTCACTAATACCTGCTCCTGGCAGAGATATACTGTAGCTGAGAGGCATAAAATCTATAAAGCGTGATCGAAAGCACCATTTGTGACCCTCTTTACTGGTGAAACAGATGGACCGGTCAGAACTTGTGAGCTTCTTTTTTTTAAATAAGATTTGACATGGTTTTTCTAGGGTCTGTATTTAAACCCAGAGAGAGGATATTGTTCATCTCAAAGCTGTTATTATGTGTGCAAACAGAGCTTAGTGTGTAACTAACCAAGCAAAATAAATGAAAAAAATACCAGCTGTGAAAATCCCACAATGACGCACAGTCTTGTCTTCTACAGTGTCTTGTTTTTTACAGCCTTCTCTCATTGGCTGTTTTTCTCCTGTTTAGATCTAATAACTCATTTAAAATACTGTACCTCTTTGTGAGAGCTGCAATATGGCAAAACTGGGCAGCTTCAACTGGGCCATTGTAAGGAGGGGACAGTCCTACAGGATGTTAGCTCTGACCAGCTGGAACCACAGGAAGCTTTTTATAATGATATTAACCTGTGACTGCAGCTTTCAATGAGGCAGCGTCTGTTTTGTCAAAGCAGGAAGTTCAGTCAAGCTGAACTAATGTTGTTCCAGCTCGCAGCGATGGCCAACGAAGCGTTTTTCAGTTGACAAAATAGGGCAGTTAAGTTTATCTGGATCCAGCTTGTGGTCCTGAATGGAAAGTCATCATAGCGCTGTCATGGTTCTTAGTGATGCCGGTAGCTATTCTGTGGCCTCATTTAAGTCAATCACAGAGGGAGGGAGGGGAAATGTGGAATTTAGTGTATGTTGGATGATTAAACTCCAACATAAATGCCTGCACTATGCAGCATGGCCATCTGAAGTGTGTGTGTGTGTGTGTGTGTGTGTGTGTGTGTGTGTGTGTGTGTGTGTGTGTGTGTTGGGGCTGGTCTGGACAGAACACATTGTTATAATTAGCATGAAGCCTAAAAGTCATCCAAAATGGAACTCCTGCTCCTGGATACTGGGCACCAAGCAAAACACGCACACTATCCGTCAGGATTGACTCTGTACTTGGACCAAATATGCAGAACCGGACTAGGTTAAGGTTTAGAAAGTCTTTATTAAACAATAAGGGTACAAAGAATCAAGGTGTAGCTGTGGTGCCAGGAGCAGGTAAGGAGTCAGAGCCAGGAATGACAAGGAGCAGAACAAAAAAGGCCAGGTGTGGTGAGTATCGTGAACAGAGGGAGTATCATCAGCATTGTCAATGGACCAGCAAGAGACTGAGGGGGAAGGAGGAGGTATTTATGGGCTGTAGACCGGGAGATAATGAGCCACAGGTGAAAACAATGAACAGTAATTGTATACTGAGGTTAAGCTGGGGCATGTGAAATGAAACGGGGCAGGAAGTCTAACCCAAATAAAAGCTCTCAAACAGAAATGTTGCTGAGGTAAATTTGTACAGAAGGATTACCTGAAGACTTACATAAATGTAGCAAAATTCAGTAGCAAAGTATTCAAAATACAGAAATACTCCTTTCAGAGTTTTTTAGTATTAAGAATATGCTGTACGGGATAACTTTACCTACCGTTACGTTACCTGTAATTTAACCATGTGTAGCCAATCTTAGTTACATTACACACTACAGGTTAGTTTAATCGTCAAACACTGCATCATAAGCTCATATTTTTTGCATTTTAAATCTAAAAAGTAACTTTCTCAGTTGCTGCCACAGAGATACTCAGGCAGAGACATAGGTGAGGAGTGACTTTAATTGAAATGATGATGACCAGGCTTACAGACAGGTACAGGAGCAGGTAACTGGTAAAAGTTAGGATGGCAGAAATAAAAGGCCACAGCATGTAAGACACAACACAGACACATGATGATCTAGCAAGGAGTAGGTATAAATACTGAGGATAATGAGAATCTGTAAACAGGCATATGAGTGGTCGGGGAAGATCGGTACTACACAGCAGCTGGATGTGGAAGTAAGAAAACAGGAATCGCAGAGAAAGACTGAGGGCATCTGGTGGGTGCATGAAGAATGGCAGAGGTAGAATGACCAAAACAAAACAGAGCTAAGACAGGAACTGTAAACTGGTAACTAAAGCCAACAGATAAGTGTCATGGAGTAAAAAGTACTCTATATCCCTCTGAAATGTAGTGGAGCAGAATTATATAGTAAAATTACTCAAATAAAGTAAAATTGTACTTGAGTAGAGTACTTGCATTCTTCTTGTCTTCTTTGTAACACACACCCAGTGAAATGCCTGCTTTCTATTTGTCATTAATTTGGTCATGCATTAACACACACACTCAGATTCCCTCCCCTTCTCACATACTCACATACCGTCCTGCCACAGCATTACGGCCAAAATCCTCTGGCTTTTGCCTCAACCTCATGTTATGTTTATATATCCATTTTCTGTCATTCATCAGGCAGTATTATAGCCGACTCTGTGGCTGGACTTGGAGTGACTAAAGATAACAAAGTAGCTTAGTAAGCGCTGACAGATGTGACTGACAGCTTCAGCTTTCAGACCTAAGCCAGAACGTACAGTGGGCTCCAGTGCAGCTCCCAAGCTGCAGATCTCCCATTAACCAGAAGCTGCTTTATTATTTAGTACTCTTATTGTGGAGCTTAAGGAAGTAGATTTAGGGTTATAGTGGTTGCTAGATTGAATCCAAGCAGCTGCTGAGAAAAGATGTGTGAAGGAATAGTCAAAATCAATCGATTTAAGTGTTTCTGAGAAAGCAACTTCAGAGTCTGTCTGATGTGATTACACAGATTAAATGTGATTCCACCCACTGATAGCTATTAAAAACATCTGGTATGCAGGGGTTTTGTTCTCTGTGAATCTTTTATGGTCTTTTCCAAATAAGTAGAGGATGTCAGTAAGAGACATTTCAGTGTTGTTGGCTAAACTGTTAGAAACTGTTTGCTGTTTACACAGCCAGCAGACAGAACAGCATTCATTTACCCATGTCTTTAGCTGCTAAATGCTTCACTGTTTTCACCAGCAACTCTGCCTGTCTGCTGTTTGGTGCTGGGCAGTTAGTTTACCTCTGCCTTTTAGCAGAAAACAGCTGCCTCCTGCTGCTAGAAATACAGATTTGGGTAGAATTTGTTAACTGTGAAAACTAACAGTGAACTAAAAGAGACTCAAAAGATATAGCTAACACCTGTTACATTACACTAACAGTCACACCTTTTCTTTTTCCCTAAGATACACTGAAACTTGTACAGATTTTAATAACTAATACATTGACTATAGGCACTACTGCTCTTGGGCCTCTCAGAAGGTCTATAAATCAGTTACAGCACATATAAAACAATATCCAATTCAGTTCAATTCAGTTTTATTTGTATAGCACCAAATTACAACAAAAGTCATCTCAGGACACTTTACATTGCAAGGTCTAGACTTTACCACTATTATTATTATAGAGGAAAACCCAACAAATCCCCCTTGATCAACACTTGCCGACAATGGGGAGGAAAAACTCCCTTTAACAGAAGAAACCTCTGACAGACCCCGGCTCTTGGTGGGCGGCCTTCTGCCTCGACCGGTTGGGGTGAGTGGACAGAGGAGAGAGACAAGAAAAGAAAAGCAACAAGACACAACAACAAACAAGCAAGCACTGGGCAGGTCAAGGTGGCCGGTGACTGCTCATCAGAGACGTAGAGCTCCAGAGCCAGGGCTACCTGCAGAAAGGTACAGGGAGAGAGAGAGGACACACTATGGGAGAGAGGTGACACACAGTTTTAGCCTTTGTAGACTTATGTAGGCACATGTAGACAGTACTTATTCTCTTTCTTTTCAAATGTGAATCAATTTCATGTCTGTTTTTTAGGTTTAGATCTAGAGTCAGGATGTGGTTAGCCTAATGCCGGGTTCAGACTACATGATTTAAGCCTGATAACAGCCCAACCCAACGATCGTAGGGCATTGGAGTTATGACAGATGCCCAGGGGATGAATTCTACCATCTTTGCTGGACCCATGACTTTCTCTCCAATGTTTTCTTTTTCAGTTCAGGTTTTGTTTTCAGACCCAAAATTCTAACTTCTGTGTCCTGGCTCTGCACTTAAACTGAGAAAAATAATTCAAATGCATGCCTCCCTCCATCATATGGAAACATAAAACCAGAATTTTTGCAGGTGGAGCCACCACCAGGTCCAGCAGGGTTTAAGAGATTAATCCGCATGAGCTTAGTGTTTTGTCTCATTACAGTCAGTTATGAAGTTGGTCGTGTTTTTGTGTTTCTCCTCAGGGACTGTGATGTCAGTCAAATTAACTACATGTATGCCCAGTATGTTAAAAACACCATGCAGCCTCTCAACATCGCAGATGTCACCAAGGACCAACGATTCCCCTGGACCGTCAGTAATCTTTTTGCCTTTTTTTATTTCTTTATTTTTTCTTTTCTTCTTTTCCCAAAGTGAGTAATTATCCCTTTTGTGTTATGACAGAGTGATAACCCAGATCACACCAGCAACCAGATAAAGAGTTTGCTCTGTACTCCCATCAGGAATGGCAAGAAGGACAAAGTCATAGGTATGAGACTTCTCTTTTTCTCACTCTCTCTCTTCTTTCTCTACTAAACCTGGTCTTAAACCACTTCTTTTTCATCTGTCCATGACAGTATATCTATCAAACCCAGAGACCCACATTGCTTCAGTATTTTGGTGGTTTTCCAGTCACTTTTCAATGCAGTGACTAAACATTAGATTTAACAATCTTAAACTGTGGGCCTGAGAACACATTAAGCCAGCATACCATTACCACTTTTATTATCTGTCCATGAATAGTCCTGCCACCCCATCCATCACAGTGATTATCATCAGCATAATTTGCTGATAGGAGATCCATTAGTTGGCTATAAAGATGACTGATCACCATGGATGTCCCTCAGTGATCAAAGAAAGCAGGCCCTCGTAGCCTCTCTTCCAGCCTTTAAGAGTTCTAAAGTCCTTTTAAGATGACCAAGATCAAAACAGCCAGTTACAGTAGACAGGGATATCAGGTGCCATGAAACCCAGTGAATCAAGCAAGGGTTGGTAACCAGAAGTAGTAATGTGCATTTTTTTGTATCTTTGTAGGGGTATGTCAGTTGGTGAACAAGATGGATGAGGCGTCAGGGAGTGTGAAGGCCTTCAACAGGAATGATGAGCAGTTCTTGGAGGCATTTGCCATTTTCTGTGGTCTCGGCATCCAGAACACACAGATGTATGAAACTGTGGAGAGAGCCATGGCAAAGCAGGAGGTCACACTGGAGGTCAGCTTCATAGAGATACCGAACATACCGTACACACACTCAAAGTACAAAGTAATATTAATTGATAATTTAGTTATAACAAGTAAGTAAGATTTAATCAATCAAACCGTCAGAGGTAGTGTCCAGTAACTGGATATGAGCTTAGCAAATAGGTAAAGAGTGAAAAAAGTCATTTCAGAAGTCAGTGGTTGTGTTGTTGGACCTCTGTCTTTGTGGGAACTAGTTTGAATTTCAGACATTTTGGTCAGTACACATACCTTCAAAAACTTTGCTTTAGAGTTGAGGTAAATTTTGGGATTAGGTGGTAGATATGATGCTAATTCTGAAGTTTGGTAGTGTGAAGTAGTGAGCGTCCTCAAAAAAGTACATAAATTACAGTGTGTGTGTGTGAGAGAGAGAGAGCATCTCTGATAGAGCTGTTTGTGGGTGTGAGTGACAGTGATGAGGTGGGACAGAAGGCTTTTTAAGCTACTTCTTGACACTTTCCTGCCTTCAGCCTTTGTGTGTGGCAGCCAGAGAAACACGACTTTATTATAACTGAGCCCACACACATTCTCAATCCACCATTATGCCCTCTATTCAGTCTCACATACTTGCCCTGTCCTACTTTCAGTCACTTCTGCATATACACTGCACACTGTTGCTGTTCACAGTGGTGATGCTGTCAGCCTCAGGGTGTCAGCCTGCAGCTGACAGCCGCTTCCTCCACTACTTTGCCCAGTTCAACCAGGCCTTGTGCCCAACTAGTCAGAAACCTTGTCATTTCATTCTGACTCTGGGTCACAGTTCAGCTGAATGTACGTAGCTGCAGCAGACAAGAGAGTTGACTTGATGAAGTGGACAGCTGAATCAGTTCTCAGACTAAATGGTTAGCTCCATGCTAACCTGGTTGAATACACAGTGTAATTAGCATATATACACTAGGTCAGGCTTTGATCATTTGAACATTGCATTTCTGGTTGCAAAAATGGAAGAACTAGTAATATATCTAGCCGAGAGGAATTTTATTGAAATTACATTATCGTGAATGTGAACTGGGCTTATTTCCACTCATTATTTTCTAATACTTTCTGTTGTGAGAATGAAAAACCCAAACCTAAGGCTCTCTCACTGTATTGACAGAGAAGAGCATCACCTTTTCTGTTTTTCCTTGTCAAAAGTCTGTTCATCTTGAGCATTACATGTAATTCTGACAGCTGTACTAGCATCAGAGCACACTGTTCTCTCACTGTTCCCAAATGACTCAGAATCATGGGCCATTTGCATAGCAGACGTTTGGACTTGTCATAGTACTAAAAACATTGGTAGCTCAGGCCCAGCACAGCATGCAGAAAAAATGATAAATGTTTTCTAATGTGAAAAAGGTCTGTTCAGCTTTAGTTGCACATTACACTTTCCCCTGAACCTTTGTGACTCTACGAATCCCCAGTTTGATTGTGTTTCAGTTGATGTCTCCATTTAACCTACAAATTACACAGGACATCTTTTATATTTAAAAATTATCTGCTAAATCAATGATCACAAACTGAAAGTCACAACAATGCAAAAAGTTACAAAACTGGAGATGCATGTCAGTGAACAGTCATATAGGCACATTATGCAATGTGTGTGAAACCTGATATGACCCACAGTCTTCCCATCTCATCAGTTTTGTACATGTGTGTGGGGGGGGACTCTTGTCATTCCAGGTCTTGTCCTATCATGCCACCGCAGCAGAGGAAGAATTGCGAGAACTCCAGGTAACCACGGTAAATCAAAATTTATTCATTTAACAAAATACACACAAAACCAACAACAGTGCCCACCACCACAGGGATTAATCAATGCACAGCCTTAAACACGCACACAGAAAGGCAGATGTTGTCCTTCAGGGTCAGAGGAAGTAGAGTTTGTGTAGATGAGAAGCAGTCATGTAACACAACACCACAGCAAGAAATTGAATCAGCAAGAAAGCACTAGCATTGCAACTGTATGGCTGCTAAATGTACTGAAGTCACATACTATATGAACAATGGACTTAAAGACTATAGACTTATTATTTTGTGCAAAATATGGTATATTCCAAAACATCTGGTTTCCTAGCCAAAATTATGATTTGAATGTATTTACACTGAAGGATTTCAGTCCAAATCTGTTTTTGCACTATGTTGACAAAATAAACGTGTGGTTGCAGTCAGCTTGCAGTACAGTACATATAGTTCTACAGACAATCTGTAATAATTCTGCTCTACAATATGAAGATTACTGATTTAATTCCTGAAATATTAAGCGACACAAATGGCTTTGTTAAGCAGGATGTGAAGATTTCAATGATATCTGTACAGAGGTGAAGCAGACAGATGAACAATGGCTGTGACTGTAATTATGCAATTTTATATCAAATCAAGCCTGGCCAGCTCAGATACAGCAGCAAACTGATATGATGACTGTTTTATATGAGAAATGTAGCTCTAGAACGTCATCAGACAATATTTAAGTGATAGTATGTAGAGCAACATAGATCAGTATGTTATCACTCTCCTTGTCATATAGAAGAACGTCATTAAAACAACACCCTGAGTAGAAGCTGAAAAGTTTGGTTTTAAGACATTTTAGTGAATCAGGATCAGATCTAACAGGATGTGAATGCTTCTCTGACTTCCTGTATAGACAGAGCCCAATGAGGAAAATGATGTATGGCTAAATACAGTATAAGCAAAAAGGGCGTTTTTTTTTTCTTGTTTGATTTTTGTATTTTAAAGTGCCATCCATCCATCCATTTTCCTCCACTTATCCGGAACCAGGTCGCGGGGGCAGCAGTCTAAGCAAAGATGCCCAGACTTCCCTTTCTCCATACACCAGCTGGCTCCTCTCGATGTGGAGGAGCAGCGGTTCTACTCTGAGCTCCTCCCGGGTGACCGAGCTCCTCACCTTATCTCTAAGGGTGCGCCCGGCCGCCCTGCGGAGGAAGCTCATTTCGGCCGCCTGTATCCGGGATCTTGCCCTTTTGGTCATGACCCAAAGCTCATGACCATAGGTGAGAGTCGGAACGTAGATCGACCAGTAAATCGAGAGCTTCGCCTTACAGCTCAGCTCCTTCTTCACCACGACAGACCGGTACATCGACCGCATTACTGCAGAAGCTGCACCGATCCGCCTGTCAATCTCCTTACAGCACATATCCTTCCCTCACTCGTGAACAAGACCCCATAATACTTGAACTCCTCCACTTGAGGCAAGAACTCTCCACCAACCTGAAGGGAACAAGCCACCCTTTTCCGACTGAGAACCATGGCCTCGGACTTGGAGGTGCTGATTCTCATCCCAGCCGCTTCACACTCGGCTGCAAACCGAGTTTTATTATTATTTTAAAGTGAAAAATTGAAAATGAAGTTGTTTTTCCATTATCCCATTCCATAATGGATTTGGACTGAACAGAGAGTACATGGATGTAGAAGACCCAGCATTTCAGAAAACAATGTTTTAGAACATTTATTTTTGAAAAGTTCACATCAGAAGTTGACTCAAAACAAAAGCGATTAATGAAACACAAAAGGTTTGCTATTATGGCTTCAATGAGAATGTATCTGATATGAGATGAAAACATTTACTAACTAGCCAGGTATTTACAAATGTGAGGATTCTTTTGGTGCAGGGAACTTTAAGGGAAATTCCAGTTTGTTCACATTTTTAATAATGCACACTTATGGAAACACATGATACTTATCCTTGTAAATGATGACATCCTTGATCATGTCAGCAACACTAAGAAATAGATCTAACAATGCAAGAAACACTGGCAATCAGATGATCAGAACAGTTTAGAGGTAATAAAGTTAATGTACTCATACTGCCAAGTCTGGTGCCTTCATTGCTCAGCAAAACCATGATACCAACTATGGTATCTTAGATCTCTAATTGTTTAAGTAATCATTTCACCATTAGCCTTCATTTTCTCTTTCAGATAGGCTTATCTAAACTATTTACCTGTTCTTGACTACCTGATTAATCTCCTGACAGCTCATGTTTCCCTATTGGACCTATTTTAGCAAATATCTAGAATAATGTTGCTTTGATGGGTGCTAGTAGGTTTTTTTGGAACATCACTTGTATAAATGGCTCTCTGGCTTAGTACACACATTACCCAAAACATTAAAGTACCTCTGCCCAGCCAGACTGTCCTATGATTTTGTTAGTAAGGTCATTTGTATCAAGCAGATTTTTTTTGACAGCACTCAGAGGCAGCCATCGGTGTGGGGCAGCTTTCACACCAACCTTAACAAAGACACCAAATGACTGTCTCAAAAGGTCCTGTTCTGCTCTCCTCTCCTTGTGGTGAAGTGACCGAACTAACAGCATAACCTGCTTAAATGGCCTCCCTTGAGTACTACAGAGAGGATGTGTCACTTGGTATCTAGGACGCAGACTCCGTTTTTCAGCTTCGCTCTACCCAAGAGGCCTCTACACTGTATGTGTGACGCATTGTAGGATGAAAACCCCTTCTTAACTGTGTAGTTAAACTTGCAACTGTAACCACAGCAGCACGTTTGTCAGTTTTGTCTTGAAATAAAATAGGAATTTAGTTGTAGAATCTGGGAAATGATTACCTTATGATTACCAGTGTTTAGGCCAAATAAATAATTCAGATGAAGTCTCTCTGCATATATCAATGTTGGGGGTGTTGTGTGTTTGCAGGCAGCCACAGTTCCGTCAGCCCAGTCGTTACATCTTCTGGACTTCAGCTTCAGTGACTTTGACTTGTCAGACATTGAAACCACATTGGCTACCATTCGCATGTTCGTCGACCTCAACCTGGTCCAGAACTTCCAGATGAAGTACAAGGTAAAATCGGACCCGAGGCAAACCAATTCATCTGATGTTTAGGGAACCATCATGACCTTCCCTGTAGTATAGCTGTACAAACAGGGATATACTCAAACCTCACTTCATGGCACTACTGGTGGTCAAAAACTCCACAGGGCACATTTCACTCTGTCTGTCAGTCCATCACACATGATTTGTATCACACCTTTTGTACAGATTCATGCAATTCAGTGTGTTTTAGAGATGGCTCTTAATCAGTGAGCTTTACAGGTGTTGGTAGAGGATTTTTTTTTTTTTTTTTTTGGATTTCAGGTGGTTTTGTTAAGATATGCAAAGCTTTGCTAATCAGCTCCCAGCTACTGTACACGCCTAATTAATATTAGCCTCTCTGGAAGAAAGCCAACATGGTTTTGCCTACATTACATTGCAACAAAATGCACTAAGTTTTATTTTTATGAAGGGTACCCTGGCTCTCAGAAAACCAGAAAAGTTACAGACAACAGCCCACTGACATTAGTTCTCTGTTGTTCTCAGTACATGTCATGGAAAAAGATGAGAACAGCTTCCCGTCTTATTATTTGCAGAAAACAATCTGCTTCTCATTGTCAGTACCATAAGACCATTAGAACATGAGTGTGCATGTGTGTTTTTGTTGGACGATGAGTGAATGCATTTATAACTGAGTTAATATTTGATTATTTTCCTGCATCCTTAACTCGGAGACCACACACGCACACAGCACCATGATATATCTAAAACACTTCCCCTCCAAAAATCACTCACACACCCTTCCCTCCATTACCGCAGTCTGTCAGACCCACCGCTCTCCTCATCTGGCTCCCCCTCAGCGCCAGCACCACCCGGTTGCTGGTGGGTTTGACTCTCCTCCTCAGTGTGCTCTCCATGTGAAGAGGTCCTTGTATGCTGGTGGCAGACCTCCAGCCTGCAGAGAGGGGCCTCATAAAGAGAAGCTTTAATTGGCAGAGATTAGGGCTTTTCAGCAGCACTGCTTGTCAAACTGTCAGGGGACTGACACATTGACCACCCTGAAGCATCACATCCTGGGGGTTAACCTGTACAGCATATCATTATCTAATTACAATTCTAACATAATTATCATTTATTATAATCTTAGATGAACCTGTAATAATACCTGTGGAGAAAATGAGCTTTAATTTGATTAGCTGAATAATGGTTTGGGGTTCTTCTGGTGCCTGAGCTAAAATTTATTTTATTCACTGTGAATTCACAATGAACATTTTGTTCAAGCATGGATATGCTGACAAGGTGCTGAGTCTTCACCTTCACAAAGGGCAAACATGACAGTAAGGTCACTTTTTACAGCAGCACTCATTATGTAGTGTTTGTAGTTTTTCATTTCTTTTCAGCCATATGTACATGTCATGCTGTTCCAACACAAAATCACTCTATAACTCCCATTTATTGTTATGCTTTATATTGATATGTAGAGAGATGGTGTAACTGTTCCGGGTCCCCAGACCCTCAAGGAGCCAATAGGCTCCACGTTCAAGCACAATATAAATTTTTACAATCTAATGACTGCATTAATCAATATTTTGCATTAATAATGGATCTAATGACTAGTTGTAATCTATAAAATATATTTCATAGTAACCAACCAATTGAAAATTATCACCTGA